AGGTTACCTCCCACTGTTGCGCCTCGTGTGTCCCCCCCTGCCCGAGAGCAGGAGAGAGTGCTATCAGGGCTAGCTGGCCGAGGTGCTAACCTATCCATTCTGTCTGACTGCCTCTTGCCAAGGCTCGTTTTTATCTCCACCCCCTCCCAAGCCTCCCAGACGTGATAAACGAGGAGTGAAGGATGAAAAGATGGAGGGGGAAGGGACCAGTGTGTGTGTGGCTCCAGAACTTGCTCTGCCAGCTTTTACCCACCTGCCTCGATAAGAGAGGCACTGTAAATTAACACGCGATAGGGGGGCTGAGAGCACGGGCTGTGAGTGTGCATTCACACACATACACATCCTCTCTTTGCTTTGCCGCAGGTATCACAGATAAAGATGTGTCATTGATGAATGGGATTTTATTTCCCATCAACCTTTGCTGCGTAGGAAATGGAAAGCACAACCCAGCCCCTAAATCATCAGATGAATAATGATAACACTGGGTAGCAGTTTTCATTTCTTCGCACTATTTGTCTGCAAAGCGTTGTATGCAAACTGTTTGTTTCTATCAGCGCCTGTAGTGGGGGTTTTATTTTTTCCACATCGCAGCTAAAAATGAATGCTGAGCTTCCACAAACTGCGATGCAGTTTAAACTCATGTTTGAACATTGTTTAATCACGCCATAGGGCAGCGGGCTCCTAAGTCAGCCAACACCAGCACAAAGACCAAATTATGCCTCCCCTTCTTTTACTTACAACATGAGAAACACAGCAGCTCTTTAACAATGAAGCCAAATTCATACCCCTCTATTTTTGTGATACTTGTCTCTGTGATCTGTTAACTGTTTTTTTCTCGCTGCGCATTCCAAGATAAACAGCACTGAAATCAATGTGCTCAGCACGAACGCCATCATTCATTGAAACTAGTAAACTGACACCATAAACTTTTATTTGGCATATATTTGTCAAACAATCAAAGGGCCCTCAGTGAGCTGGCACCCTCTGAGGTTTTTACAACCGTCATGGCTGTACAGCACATAGCATTTATTACATCAGCTCAAATCACATCCACAAAGGCATGTACAGTGATGTGGGGCTGTCGATGAGGATGTAAATATAGCTCAACGGATATCAACAGCAAAAGTTGAGCATATTTTACTCTCTACACTTCTATGATATGCTAATCTGCACACCATTCACTTTAATTACATCGGGTTCATGCAGGTCTGTGGACCTGGGGATCTTGCCCACTTTTACAGTTTGTTAATCCTGACTTGTTTGTTGTAAATAACATTTGGTCTTTTTTCAGTTCAACAAAGACTACAAATATTCTATTATTGTAAACATTAACTAAATTCTCACCCAACATTTTCCAAAACACTGAGGACTCTTGTACATTGTACAATTATACAGTACATTATATATTTTTTTATGTTGGTTTCAGTCCATTTCAGAACGAGGAAATCATCTTGCATCACAGTGAATATAGCTTGTTTTATTTCTGTCAAAGCAAACTTGCATTGCATGGTTACTCAGTTGAAAAGGGTAAAAGGGTAATGATAAATGTTAAAACATAGTGAAATAGTTGCACAAATAGAGAGGAGTAATAGTCAGTAAACTGTCTCACTAATGTCAGTTACGCAACAATATCTACCAGACAAAGTAACGGTCTACCAAAAAAAACCTGTCTGTTAAACTGATTGTAAAAGATCATGGTTAGGGCCCATCCACCACTCTCTCCTCCACAACACCTCTCTAAATAAAGGGCATGATGTGTAAATGATGGCAGTGGATGTAAATTGGGCATAGTCCAATATGACTGCAATCCCTAGGGATAATGGGCTTTTCTCAGTACCCACAGAGATACTCTCTGATGGATCCTCTCTCTGCACTTGATTGACGGTGGCACAATGACTGGAGCTGGCAACTCAACATGAGACAAAACCTGTGTTCTTTCATTCTTAGAGCTCAGTATACAGCTGGATAATTGCACATTGAACATGTCTGCAGTCTCAGACATGTAGGAAATGCCATTTGAATTTATATGCATTCCTCTACATTCGAAAGTTTTCTAGGACACCTTTATCAAGTAGTACTTGTGGGGCCAGCAGTGCTGCCTTGACCCTACACTTAGGCCTTTTTTCACCAACAGGGAACCGGCTTTGTCATGGTTCAAGCATCTTGTTTTGAACCAGCTGGAACCAAACAAATAGCAGATTTTTCTTGGGAAACAAAGTGGGCAGTTTCATATTCTACAGGTCGTCATTGTGCAATATCCTCTGCTGATGATGCATCCGATTACTATGGTTCCACTCAGAACTGGAGGAAATCCAGGCTGGTTGACTAGGTAGCACTAAGGTTACAACGGGACCTGTTTCTAAGTGAGAGTCTGTAGCAACTGAAAATGATCACATCTTAGTCTTTCAGTTGGCATCTTCGTTTGGGTCAGTGGAATGGAGAAACAGTTCTGCTTTAATGACAGCAAAAGGATTTTTTTGTAACAGTAGGATCCAGCAAGCCCTTTACTCTTAACAACAAAGAGCTTGTTTATGCCTTTACAAAAGTGTTTTCTGTTCTAGGTTAATTAAAATGAAACTACAACTATGTGCTTTAGGTTAGGGAAAGATTGTGGTCATAGTTCATAGCTAATATGATATCCACTATAAGCTTTTTTTCCAGAGTGTTCAACCTCCTTATGTGGTCTTCATCAGTAAAGTGGATGAGTTTGTGAGATGATGGAGTAGCTTTTCATCAATGACCCTTTTGGTGGTCCATGTTGCCCTCTATGTAATGCACAAAAGTTCATTCCTGACCTGTCATCATACTGGCTTTTTCAAAAGCTTTCAATCGTATTACAATCATGCTTTAGAGCAGTGGTTCCTAGCCCTGTCCTGTCACTGAGTAAACCGATGACCCCTGACTCGATGACATATTTTATTGATATTTTATATTATATTATATTCATAACAATAACAGTACAGACCAACTGATAAACTATACAATGAACCCAAATAGTGAAATCAGGGAATGAATTAATATCAATATGCTTTGTTTTTGACAAATTCAGTATTTTCTTTTCATTCTTCTGTCAGCTTTTTGGTTCTTTTCTAATGCAGGACAAAGCTGTTTATCAGAGACTGAAGGCTCTGTGAATATAGCTTGTGTTCAGGTCTTCATAGTTGAGATCCTAAATAATAATATAAACTTTAAAAATATCAATTTCATTTAGTTGTCTTCACAGAAATTAACAAAATGCTGAGGTGTAGCACTACTGTGTATATGTTTTCTTACACCCCTTAAAGTCAAAAAGGTCTTGTGACCCCCGGGTTGGGAACCACTGCTTTAAAGCAACCAACACTGACTCTGAGTGGCACACCTTGTCTACATCAGCCACATAGAAAAAGCAACATGTCAGCAGAGTAGCTGCAGCTTCAGTTTTTCATCATTTCCTCTACATGGTCAGCTAACGTCCTGCACTCCATGTTGGTGGTGGTGGTTTTGCAATGGCCATAGCTCTCGTGTTGGGCTATCTGTGTAGGTATATTTGTAAATCAGAAGAAAAAAAGATGCTTCGGGTTGCTTATGTAAAGCACAAGTGGTGCACAAGGTTTGTCAAGGATGTAACTTTTGCTTTTGAGCAAATGTGTGGCTTATTTCTGCGACGAAAACATAATAATTCATGCAAAAGGAAACTGATAATTATATTACAAACTGGGCTTCACCACAGCTTGAGCGGGAATTTGTGTGCATGTCTTAATCGTGTGTATTTATGAATGGAGTGCCTGCAGGCATTAATAAGTGTGTGTGAAGAGTGCATTTGTATATGAAAGGCAAGGTGAGCAGTCAGCAGTGTGTCACTGACAGGAGAGGAGGGATATTGAATGGATGGGTACAGAGGGATTGTGCTGTTACACTGACAGACAGACAGAACTGATGAAAAACAGCATTTGTTCTCTTCTTCTGTTGCACAACATAAGTAAGTAAATCAGTGCTCTGTACATAACCACATTATGGTGATGGGGGTTGTTTTTCTGTGCCATTGATCTTATTAGTAAAGGTATCCACAGAGTTTTTCTTTTTTTTTGTTATATCCAGCCTCTTTGCAGTTATGCTGTTTGTGCTCTCCTCATTTATTGCCTTTTCTTTCTTATTCCCCCTCTCCGTTTTTGTTCTTTCTCTCTCTCTCAGCCAGCTACATTCCATTAAACCTTCAAAGATAACAGATGACTGCCAGGCTGCACTCCCTTGTTTTTTATATTTATTTCTCTTTTATTTATGATTGGCCTTCCCTCTGGATAGGGAACACATGCCATTCCTAACATAATGTTATATTTCCTGGTGCCTGTCCTCAATGACACTGAAAAAACACAGTCATTCTTTAAAAGCCCAATGCTACCTAGAGGGCAAATAGATGCTGTCCCAGTTGCAGAGCCTGCTCCGTACCATTTTTAATAATCTGGCTTGCTGATAGGCGCGGCCCCCACCACCCTCTTTGTCTTTTTTGGGGCAAAAGCAATTTTTGCACGCCCCCCACTAGCTTTTATGAAAAAGTAACACTCGTGAAATTGAAAAAGCCACAGCTGACTCTCAGGGCCATTTCTCACATAATGCATTTCAATTGGGTTTTTAAGATAGATTGCGCGAGGTCGAAGCGTGCTCTAAACATATCTCATAACCCAGATTGTACAGCCCCAACCCCGTGTCTCCGATCTGTTCTGTAAAGCTTTAGTGGTGAGGAAAATGACAGACTGTGTGTGTGTGTGTGTGTGTTGTGTGTTGTGTGTGTGTTCGCTCCAGTGGCCAATAACATCATATGACCTTCTTTGATGGACGCCCTCTTTCCAGCTGCGAGAAAGTCCGAGGAATTCAAAACCCCATAGCGTGGCTCCAATCGAGAGAGAGACCGCATCAAACTATCTTCTTGATGTCCTCTCTCTCTCCGCTCAGCAAGGACGCGCACTCCACACGGCGCATTCTGTTGTCTGTTTTCACACAAAGCCTTGCTTATGTCACCTCAGATCTGTCAGTCCCTCAGGGGGCATCATAGTCTGCTGTGCACGGTCTCATAGCACTCTCAGCGGGGTCATGGCAGCATTGCCAGCCCCCCAGTACCTCCTGCTTTACATTTCCATCCTGAGGCAACAGAGCCGTCCCACGAGACACTTGAAGGTGAATGAAAAGAATGAAGGGAGTTCTCAGAGGTTTCTGTCAGGACACATATTTTGAATCATTGTCTTATGGTTGGAAGCAAAGAACGTGACATGACATTTCCTGTAGGCAGGGGTCTGCCTCAGAAGTCTCTTTTTATGATACTGTGTTGTCTGTGACATATTTCATTAACCTGCCTGCTATAGTGCTGCAGCCACTCGGCTTTCTTGCATGTCCCAAGGGGAAGCTGATAAAATGGAACACAACACTACACTACAGGACAGGACTGCACAGTTTATCATAAGAGGTCAATATAACTCATATCATACCTCCTAACTCACTGATACTAGCCTCTATACTTAAAGTTTACCGCAGTGCTGTAGTCAAGAGGACATTTGTCATGTCCAAGACAAGACAAGACTAGTCGAGGCCGAGTCGAGACCATGGTAAAACAAGTTTGAGTCAAAGTCAAGACAGAGACAGAGAGAATAAAAAATGCTTTTCCTTTTGTTAATGAGATGAGGTTTGGCAGCCAGGCTTACGATTACAAGTGACATTGATTGGCTGCCTCGCTGGTAACCATGGATACCAGGCGGCAATGTTAATGTCCGTTCTCGATGGATTTTGAATTAAACCAATGCCTATTTTCTGAAGAAGCTCAGTTCAGTGTTTTTGTTTTGAAGGAGGAAGACATATATTGACGGACTCAGTTAAGACCAGCTAGAATATTTGGCGAGACCAATGGCCAAATCTAGTTAGAGTGCATATAGCAATGAGTCCAATAAGACAATAGAAGAAATGTTTTGAGTCCAGACTCAAATACCAGAGCACTGATTTACCCGCTGTGATATTGACATTTTGCCATGCCTTTCTTTTGATTAAAGGTCCAGTGTGTAACATTTAGGGAGATCTATTGGCATAAATAGAATATAACATTTAACAATAAGAATCATTGTGTACTTGTTACCTTAGAATGAGATAATTTTACAGAGTGTGCCATGTTCAACTGTCATGTTTCTACAGCAGCCCAGAATGGACAAACCAAACACTGACGGTAGATAGAGTCTTTTGCCACTATAGTTTCTCCTACATGCTTGGAAGGCTGAGGTGCAACTTCACCACTAGTGTTGAAACAATTAATTGATTAGCTTACTGACAGAAAATACATTTATTAGCAATTTACCAAATAAGTACCACACATCCTGTACTTAATTGTTTGGCTAGAATTTAGGACCTTACAAATCCTTCTATACGTTGATCAGTGCAAAAGTTATTAGATATTTCAGTTAAAATAAATATTCACCAAACTTGGCGATAATGGGAGATATGGGATGGGACCCATGTGAGATTGTCTGGAAGATTATGTGTAGCTTAGTTATGGAAGTAGTTACTTGATGTGGAAGAAAGCAGGATGTTAAGAGAAACAGTGTTTGCTGATAGAAAATGTATAAGTTATTCACTATTTGAGTATTATTTCAGTGACTACTTTGTACTTATTTCTGCAAAATAACAGTACTTTTACAGAATTTTTGGCTTCTCTCTCAACCTCTGCACAACACCTTAGAATGAATGATCATTCTATTATCTCATTATCATATACCACGACCACTTATTGTACCAAAGCAAAAAAGAGAGGTTGTCTTTCTATATTCTGTCAATTAATGGTTTGGTTAGTTTGACCAGTTATTTTGAATGTCGGTTAAACTGTTAATTATTATTAACACTATTAAAATTAGCAAATCTTTCTCATGAAAGTTAATAGGAAAATGTCTTCTGGTAAAAAAAATACATGCATAGCAATGTTAATTGTACGTGCAACAAAACACTTTCTACTTCTTCTTAATAGGCTAATAGGTAAGGAGATTAATTTTCTGTAAAATGAAATAAATTCTACTTAATTTGAACTGTTACTTATGGGCTGTGGCCATAATTAAATCAGCATACGAAGTGTCTCACCTCCAAACACTGACCAACCTGCAATGAACCTGAGACACCTCATCATGAAACTTGCATCAATGAAAAAGATAGAGATAGATAGATAGATACTTTATTTAGCCCGAGGGAAATTCAAAAAAGAAAGGAATAAAGGAAGGAAGGAATAAAACTGGAGTTTATTGTATCAATATATATAGCAAGTGCTGCCCTGTATTGTGAAGAAAAGTGATTTCTTAAAAAGAGTGGAAACTCTGACATGGTATGAAGCATTCATTTAGTATTGCTCCCTATGTACTTAATAGGTGAAAGAAAAAGACATACAGCTACACTTTTCTTTTTCTTTCTCTTTGAGTGTATTCAGGAGTGAGATAGGGTCTGCTCTTCTCTAGCTCCTGTCCACTGAGTCTCTACATTGTTATTGATTTTCTCTGTTTTCTGTCAGGATTTGAGACTGTATCTTTGTCACTATATGAGGGCTGCAATCCTCTGCTCTGCCCACTGCTCTGCGTGACTGTGTGTGTCAATGGGTTGTTGCTGTACCATGCAAGGGTAATAACTCTTCTCAGCAGTGACTGTTGATGATTTGAATATCACATTAGCTATAAATCTCTGTCTTTTGTTATCAGCCACTCTACATATAAGATTAAAGCTGAATATTCTAAAAGCCTTTCTTGTGACGTCTGATATTAAATTAGCTGAGGAATCGCAATAAAACATTCTTTATCTGCAGATTTCCCCATTACTTGATGAGAAAGAGGAAAAACGCTGACTCCCTCTGGGTGAAAGTATTCCCTTTACTTGAAGAAAAGTTATCTTTCATTTGGAGGGAGCATACTTTCTGTTTTGGTGAGAAACGGTGAAAATGTAGCCTTTGTCCAGGTGGACTACTTGAATGAAAAATTGTGAAAAAGTTGATTTCCTTGCAAGGAAGTGTTCCCTTGAATGTAGTGAGAAATTGTTTAAAAAGTTGACTAGTACTAATTAGTGTTAATTATGTAAAAGTTGCTATCTTCCTCTACGTTTCTGTAAAACAAGAATAAAAACATTGGACATTACACAGTAAATGTACAAAAACTGAATAATAATGTCTTGTGAGAAGTAAATATATATATATAGAAAAAGGAATATCAAGGTTCACCTATGTTTTCAAAGAGCTTAGCCTTAAACCATCCCCGTCAGGGTTTAAATTACAAAGTGGCATTCAGGGAGCCTGATTTTCCGGTGCACACCGCTACTTAATATGTCACATTAACCTAGTGAATAAATTGCACTTGTTGTTCTACTGTTAATAGTATAGACAGGTAATTCCAAGTAATTCCAATAACATTCCATAGTCTTCGAGTCTAAATAACAACAACATGAGGCTACTGTTTCAAAATCAAAGAAAATATGTATTAATCAGCAAAAGAAAAAAGGCTAAATCCGATTGCCAGTTGTTTTTTTCTGTCCGATTTTTGTCATTTTATTTTGCTAATAATTAGCTCCCCCATTTTTTTAACCATGGCCCCTTATTTTACCTACTCATTCATAATAATGCTACTCATGCTGAGCTGTATTTCAATGATTGCAATCTGCAACTTCATCACTAGAAGCAACTAAATCCTACGCACTGGCCCTTTAACGGACAGCTTTTTGACCTATTACAATCATCTGACCCAAAATGGCAATGAGTACCAAAATCCAGGTTTGGAAATGCCAAAACAGGTTGACGTCATTTTTTTTTACATTCTTTGTTCAGCTCCTGCATCCATATGCATTAGTTCACTGCTACACCAATATATGCAGGCCTTTTCAATTTCCTGCCCACTATCTCTGCCTAGACAGGCAGTTTGTAAAAAGAAGGGTCAGGGCCACAGGGTGTACCTTAAGTGACTGATCTTCCTCATCATCTTCAGTCTTGCCATCTGTAACCTCAGGTCTTATATTGTTGAAGTGAACACTAGACTTGGACAGCAGTGTGATATGAAGTCAGGCCACTGTGGCCTGCATCCCCATTCCTCCTCTTGTGATGGCACTCAACGTCTGAGCAATTTCTGTCTCATAGGAATTCATTTATATGTAAAACACAGAAGCCCAAACAACAGCACTGCCAAACACTATAAACAACTTCCAGAGTCCCACAGGTTTTATGCAATTGACCAGTGTATTGAAAACTTTAAACTCTGCAACATGAGAGACAGCCTGTGATGTGATCGGAGTTAACAAGGCAGCACTGCGCTCCCCTCTGGTCTAGCTTGTCATGCTAGCTTTATGAGCCTCAAAACGAGATTTTTAGTGTGTGATTTTGACAATAAACTGTACACAAAATGGAACCAGGACTTTTATTTTATTAAACACAAATGAAACGCCCCTAGCCAAAAGTCAGACTTCTGACTGAAAACAACAGAAGTGTCTTTCAAAGCTTAAAAAGAAAGATACACTTAGGCACTCTGTGACTGAATCACAGCTTTAGGCGCATGGGAACCTTATCTCGTATCTATTATGTAAATGTGCAACAGGGGCTTTAACTATTTTTGTCCAAAGGCCAGAATATTTCTAAGCAAACACTGAGGAGGCTGGGCTTTTAAATGAAAAAAAAATGTAGGCCTAATCAGCCAATTATTGTTTCATGTTTGCAGTTTCTTACAAAATGAATGTTATTTTTATTAGGCAATATCAGTGTGAACAGACATGGGAACTCCATAATGATAACTAGATGCTTCTAGAAAATGCTTTTTTAAATCAAGAAATGTCTAGTGCAGTCCTGATTGGAGAGAAACATAAGTAACTTTTATTCTATTTTATTGTCCGTTATTGTGCATTGACACTTGGTTAATACTACATTTCCCAGAATTCTGGGGACAGCAAAGCAAATTGTTATTTTAATAAAGAAGTCAGGCAGTAATTGTCCTTTTTTATCATTTTGTAAGCAACCTTGAGCTTACATTATGCTGTTAACAACTTAACAGTGAAAGTAGTTGGTTACCTGGCTGAAAAGTTGAAGGTGGAGCTGCAGAATGTCCCCTGCAGCTCTTGTCTAAATGTGGCTCCTTCTTGTTCCGTTACTCCCTGCAATATTTTAATCCGCTATAAAAAAAAATGTCAAA